GTTTGATTCAAAGCTTCAAAAATTTGCCCCCGACACTATACCCCTTGGTAGAAAAGAAGAAGTTGTAATCAAAATTAAAGATGCATCAAAGTTAAATCAAAGGAAAGAAAAGGATGATTGGGCAGCACTCTTGAATGCCCAAAAGCAGGATAACAAAATAAGAAATCTTTCACCAGCATTGCAAGAAGCTGTCAAAGATGCAAATCAGGATACTGCCACCACATCTCTCAGTGAGACACAACAAAAGGGAATTGGAAAGGCTGATGAAACTCTTGATATACCTGTTGTGGGACAATCTTCTTTACCAGGCTTTGGCCAACATCTGCCTGGTTTACAAAGAAAAAACAAATTGACTCCATTAGTTATTCCAGAGAAAACAAAATCCAAGAAAAAGAAAACCAAGGCAGTGCACAAAAAAAAGGAGCAAGAAGCTGTTTGCTATGAAAGTATCAATGATCATATCCAAATGCCTGAGCAAAATGTTATAGATCATTTAGCTGTCATAGCAAAAGGATTTTATGATGAAGACAGAGTAGATGAATCTTGTGCAAATATAAATCCTTATGCACAAAGTACCAATCCTTTTAGACAATCAGTGGATCCTAACCAGCATTATCAGCAACATGAGTTTGAATACATGACACCAAGAAATGAAATATATATGGGTCATATGCATCCTACCGTATCGGAATATTCTGCATCAAAAGAAGATGAATTTATGAGCCACATGCAACCAGATTCAACAGAATATCAGGGTCCTTCACACAGAGAAAATATGTATGAAAATCAATATATTCCACGTGGAAATTTGAATACTACAGAGCCAACTTCAAGTGAATTCGAATCCAGTAATCCTTTCATGACCCATGTTCATAAAGCAAAACAAGGTAGAAGAGCTGATTCTGCTCTGATTTCTAGTATGGCACCTAGTGCCCCACTTCTCGGGAGAAGACATCAAGCTCAAATGGAACAAGAGGCATATGAAAGACTGCAACAAGCTCACCAGCAAAATCCAATAGTAGGACCATTCTCTGCGTGGAATGAAAATATGCAAGGACCACCTACAATACTTCAAGAGGAAGGATTTGTCAAAGAAGATGTTGTGATGAATCCACTTGGATTAGCAGGCCCAGACACTCAACTTATAGCATCTATATCAGCTGTTGAAGAAGGAGAAAAACATCTGCCTGATGTCTTTAAATTAAAAAAGAAAAAGAAATCAAAATCGGATAGGGCACATAAAGAATCAACAGATGAAAAAAGACATGGATCACAGTCAGAAGAACCAGTGCGCAAAGGAGTACTAGATGATTACTATGAAGAGAAGAGGGCCTATGAAGATCATTTGGGAGGAAGATCTTACATGTTTAGTGATAATCCCATACTACCTGGCGTTAGTGGTGCTTCTTTACCAATGACTCCAAGATCAATGATGGGTCCTGTTCCAATGCAAGGACTTACACCAGACCAAGTTATGGAGCATGAGAGAATGTCTGCTGGACATGAATCAAGTTCTATTGGTCCACATGATCCAAGATATTTCGGGCCACAAGACCCAAGAAATATAGGCCACATGCATTCTAAAGAGCCACATCATCATAATTCTTCACTTAAAGAAAGTGAAGATGATGTGCGCAACAAGCAACAGAAGCCATATACCAGCCAGACCTCTTGTGTTCCACACAGTGCTCCACTTCTTGGAAAAAGACGACAAGCTCAGAAAGAACAACAGTTACGTGAATCACAACAAGATCAACTGCAAAATCCAAGAGAAGGGATCTTTTCTGCAAGGAATATTAATATGCAAGGACCACATTCGATACTTCAAGAGGAAGGATTTGTCAAAGAAGATGTTGTGATGAATCCACTTGGATTAGCGGGTCCAGACACTCAAATTGTAGCAACAGCATCAGCTGTAGAAGACAGAGAAAAAGATCTACCAGATGTCTTTAAATTAAAAAAGAAAAAGACGTCAAAATCGGATAGGGCACATAAAGAACCAACTGATGAGAAAAGACATGGATCACAGTCAGAAGAACCAGTGCGCAAAGGAGTACTAGATGATTACTATGAAGAGAAGAGGGCCTATGAAGATCATTTGGGAGGAAGATCTTACATGTTTAGTGATAATCCCATACTACCTGGCGTTAGTGGTGCTTCTTTACCAATGACTCCAAGATCAATGATGGGTCCCGCTCAAATGCAAGGACTTACACCAGACCAAGTTATGGAACATGAAAGAATGTCTGCTGGACAGGATTCTGGATATATTGATCCACATGATCCAAGATATTTAGGTCCTCATGACCCTAATGATTTCGGTTCACATGACCCAAGAGATTTATTGCAACCAGCAGATCCCAATCAGCATTACTATGGACATAATGAATATGCAAGTAATATTGGTCAGATGCATCCAAAAGAGCCACAGTACCAGAGTTCTTCAGTCGAAGATAGTGCAGATATTGATACAATGCAAAACAAGAAACAAAAGCCATACTTCACCAAACCTTCAAGTATTCCACCTAGTGCCCCTCTTCTTGGGAGAAGGCGACAAGCTCAAAATGAACAAAAGGCACAAAAATTACATCAACCTCAACAGCAAGTTGCAATGGTTGGATCATTACCGAAAAGGAATGACTACATTCAAAGTAAACCTATAATACATCAAGAGGAAGGATTTGATGTTGTGATGAATCCACTTGGATTAGCAGGCCCAGACACTCAACTTATAGCATCCACATCAGCTGTTGAAGAAGGAGAAAAAGGTCTGCCTGATGTCTTTAAATTAAAAAAGAAGAAATCAAAAAATAAAGAACCAACAGATGAGAAAAGACATGGATCACAGTCAGAAGAACCAGTGCGCAAAGGAGTACTAGATGATTACTATGAAGAGGAGAGGGCCTATGAAGATCATTTGGGAGGAAGATCTTACATGTTCAGTGATAACCCTTTACTACCTGAAGTCCCTAATCCAAGATCAATGATGGATCATGCTCCAATCCAAGAACTTACACAAGAACAAGTTATGGAACATGAGAGAATGTTTGCTGGACAGGACCATAGAGGTTTAGATCAACACATTTTTAGTAGCATAAGTCAACATGATCCTAGAGATGTTGGTCCTCTTGATCCTAGAGACTTTGGTCCACATGATTCTAGAGACTTTGGTCAACATGATTCCAGAGGCTGTCAGCAAATAACAGCTGGTCAACAACCACAGCCATTTTCAAACACTCCAGAAGAAGCCAGTACATCACAAGGAGGTAGACTGATGAAAAGGCGAGTCAAATTGGCAAATAATGGTAAACCAGAACTTTTCGTCAAGGACATGCCAAGCATGCCAAGACAGCTTCCACTTAGACAAAAGATGCAATGCACTCCTACATCGGGACAACCTGAAGTAGAACAAAAACAAGAAGTTGTGATTCCCAATAGAGTTATTTTTCGAAAGCCTCAAGAAAGAAAGGGA